TGGAAACCTGTCCCAGAGCTAACAGTTTGAATTGATTGCAGCCAGGGTTTGGGCCAGGAAGGGTCGTCTTTGCTTAGTAATGTGCTTTCGCAACGATTCTCCCCCACCCCCGCTTTTTTTAATTCTGTGATCTGCCTTTTAAAAAATATATGTAACTCTTTCTCAGGACCCTTGGTGCCTGGGCTGGCGTTACTCTCAGCCCTCAAGCCTGTTCTTACCCGCATTTACGTTCTGTTGGAAATGGAGGCTGAAAAGATAGGCTCAGCGTGGGGGTCCTGCTAGAGATGCTCACAGGGATTAAGGGGCTACTTCAACTTTCCTTTTCTGGTTGCTGCAGTTACTGTTAACAGGCTATGCCGCTATTGTTAAGAAGTCACTTTTTCAGGTTGTACTTTTATGAATTAAGATATTTCAGTATTTGACCCAACATAGCCTCCCAAGGAGGACTACTCATTTGAAAATTGGGTTTCCAGTTCCTGTTTTGTCATAACTATGTGACCGTGGGCGAGTCATTTTATCTCTGAGTTTCCTTCTTTCTCTGCCTTTTATGTCACTGTTTGGTATTGTGTTACAGTGCTCAGGTCAAAATCTGAAAAAGTGGCAGCAGCTAATATTGACCTATTCTCGTTGGATAAATATTAGTGATGATTCCTTATAAAATTGAAAATTGGAATTCATATTTAAAATGAATGATTACTGCTTCGAAAGCCTTAAACACCTTTGCTTTTTAGTTTCTTTCAAAGCTAATGAGCGAATTGTATGTAATGTAGTATTTCTTCCTCCGTAGAATCATTGAGAATCTAGGGTTCATGTCTGTTAGAGTTGAAAAAAAGTAACACAGCCGGATTAACATTCATTAGAGTGAGTCATAGCTGCTTGGTAATCAGAGAAAAGGGATTTTATTAAAGGTAATTCTGCATAACTTTTTTTTTTCTGATTCGGTTTCACAATCTTATTTTTCTGTTGTGGCAGATATATTTATATAAATACGTATTTCTATTTGCCTACATGTAATGTTAACCTAAAAAAAAATTCAAATCTGTAAAGAATTTTTGTGAGTTTACTTGAGCCAAATTGTTGACAATAGCCAGGAAGCAGAATCTCAACGTAATGGGATTATGCTCTGGAGCAGGGCAGTTTTTTTATCTAGTTATATACATTATAATCAAAAGAGGGGATGTAAGTGAGTACATGAACTCCATTGGTGATAGATTAGGGAGGCGGCAGAAAGCAAAGCGGGAGACCTCTGGGATGGGATTCTTTTACTGAGGTGGGTGCGGGATAGTTAACAGTCAACAGTTAATAACAATGAGGGGTTTGTGGTCTCTGCAGAGCAGTGTCTGTGCTTTGAGGGGTCCAGAAAAAGGGAAGTTACTTTGACACTCCATTGATACGTTATTGTAGATTCAAAAAGCAATAGGCTCAGTTTAGGTAAAGATTGACCTTTGTTGGGGAAGATAACCAGCCCAGGATGTGACTATCCACCATAACTGCTTTTAGTTAAAGTTTTAATTTCAGGCTGTCCTTTATGGTTACTTCAGGTCTTTGAGTTTGGGAGACTGCCATGCAGGCCTTCCCTGAGCTTGTTAGGTTAGCATGTGGCCCCTTTTTTGTCCACAGTACTTACAGTTGTGTGTGTGTGTGTGTGTATAATTTTTTAAAAATGTATATTTTGCAGTGGTGGTTCTCTCTCTCTCTCTCTCTCTCTCTCTCTCTCTCTCTCTCTTATTAGAGAGAGAGAACCATAAAGAAGCCAGGGACTAAATCTATCCAGAAGAAGGGAAAAACTAAGATAAATATATTGGGATTTTTAATAAAACCAAAAGGTTCCGAAAATAGCTCTAATAAGAAGAAAGTAACCAAAAGTGGTTTGGAAAGTATTATGATTTTAAACTGGTTAACAGGAAAGCACTACCACTTAAAAAATAATCATTTTGGCCCTGGCTGGTTTGCTCAGTGGATAGAGCGTCAGCCTGCGGAATGAAGGGTCCAGGTTCAATTCTGGTCAAGGGCACATGCCTGGGTTGCGGGCTTGATCCCCAGTGGGGTTGTGCAGGAGGCAGCCAATCAATGATTCTCTCTCATCACTGATGTTTCTCTCTCTTCCTCTCTGAAATCAATTAAGATATATAAAAACCAATAATAATCATTTTGACTACAGTTGTAAATTTGGTCATTTCTTAGTAATTTTTAACCCTTACTTTTGAGCAGTAAGTACTGAAAATAGATTTGCCATGAAGGACTTTATATCATACTCTGAATTTCTCAAATATGAATTAGAACCTTATACTGAAATCACATTTTTCCCTTGCAGTCTCACACCATTTTGCTGGTACAGCCTACCAAGAGACCAGAAGGCAGAACTTACGCTGATTATGAATCAGTGAATGAGTGCATGGAAGGTGAGTTTAAACACTAATCAAGGGGTAGAAATCATTTCCCCCTGATATTCACTATTAGAATATGTCTCATTTAGGAATTGGGTTTGTTTTGTCCTCCAGATTTCTTGGATTCTTCATTTGAGTAGCAGAAATAGATATTTAGGGATGTTGCTAGAAATAAAAATTACCTCAGAGAATAAAGGCAAATGGAACCAAATCAGTGCAATTTGTTGTGTATTTGATAAGCTTATACTACTGCAGCGATAGCAAATCTGACATGTGTGTCAGAGGTGACACGCGAACTTATTTTTTTGGTTGATTTTTGTTAAATGGCATGTAAATATATAAAATAAATATCAAAAGTATAAATTTTTGTTTTACTATCGTTGCAAATATCAAAAAATTTCTATGTGACACGGCACCAGAGTTAAGTTAGGGTTTTTCAAAATGCTGACACGCCAAACTCAAAAGGTTTGCCATCACTGTACTACTGTGAAGAGAACTATTAGCCCTTAGTGTTTCTTTACTTGGTAAACCATTAGATGAGAGCATGTAAATTACAGTCACGAATTTTCATTCTTATATTTAATCATATCCTCCTATCTAATAAAAGAGAAACATGGTAATTAGCATACGACAGCTACCCTTCCCATTGGCTAATCAGGGCCATATGCAAATTAACTGCCAGCCAAGATGGCGGCTGGCAGCCAGGCAGCTTGAAACTAACATGAGGCTTGCTTGCTTCAGTGATGGAGGACTCCCAGCGTTCCCCA